ATTTAAGGCAATTTGATGTGTTGCATACATGCATAAAAGGTCAGTATGTACGTACGTACGTACGTACGTATGTATGTATGTATGTATGTATGTATGTATGTATGTAGGTATATACGAATGCATGCATGCATACATGCATGTACGATGCATGCATGCATGTGTGTATACATGCATGTAGATAGGTCGGTAGGTATGCATGCATGCATGCATGCAGGCATCCATGCATGTAATCATGTTTATGTATATATATATATATGTGTGCATGAATGTTTGTAGGTATGCATGCATGTAGGTTTAGAAACACTTACATGTATAGGTGTATTTATAGGTATATGCTCAACTATTGGTCTACGTTTTTGTTATAAGTATAGTTATATGTATATGTACTTTCATATATATATATATATATGTATGTACATATATGTATTGGATACGTATACGTATATGCGCATGCACACACATATATATATATATGCATTTGCATACACGCACATATATACATATATATATGCATACATATATATATATATATGCGTATGTATATGTATATGTACATGCATATGTACATGTACATGTACATGTCTATGTATATGTAAATGTACATGTATATGTTTACGTACATGTGTGTGTAAAAGTGTATATATATATGATTATTTATATTTGTATTTGTGCTGAACTATGTAATTGCATATGTATACGATTATGTATATGTACACATATTTGTATCGGAGTATGCACATGTGTTTTTTGTATATCTGTATGTCTATGTGTTTATCTCTATATATGGTAGGCATGTAGGTAGGCAGACATGCAGGTATGTAGACAGGCAGGCAGGCACGTATGCATGTATGCATGCATGCATGCATTCAGGTGTGTATGTGTGTGTATATATAGATATATTTTTATATATACAATAGCCTTCGGTCCATCTCACCACGGTGCCTGCATTGTGGGTCAGAGTCCGCAGGGATGCTTCCTAGGGCCTCTTCGGAGCGCTCTCGAGGGCCTCTTGGGGACAGCTTTGGGGCTTCTTAGGGGCAGTTTTGGGGCCTCTTGTGGGCAGTTTTGGGCTCCTGGAAACCTCTTCGGAGACTCTTGGGAGCCTCTTGGGGGCCTCTTGAGGCCTTGTGGGACCCTTTCGGGGGCCACTTGGGGCCTCTTTGGGGCCTCTGGAGGGCTTCCTGGGGCCTCCTGAGGGCCTTTTGGGGCCGAGGGCCCGAAATGTCCGTTTGGGTCCCCTCTCTTGGTGCCGTCTTGGGGACCTCTTGGGCCATCTTGGAGGCCTCTTGGGCCGTCTTGGGGGCCCTCTGGGGCTGTTATGGGCCCTCTCGGAAGTCTCTTGGGCCGTCTTGGGGCGTTCGTGAGGGCCTCTGAAGCCGCCTTGGAGCGTCGGGAAGCCGAAACGGCGAAACCGGTAACATCCTTCAGCCACATACGGAACATCACAGATTTTGGCCTCTCGGGGTCCTCTTGGTAAGGCTCTTGACCCGATCGTGCGGCGATTTGGGGACCTCTTGCACCGTCTTCGGGGCCTCTTGAGGCCTTGCTAGTCCGTCTTGTGGCCCTCTTAGGTCCGAACGTGTCATGCGAAAAGACGCCCCGCGCCCCAGGCGCCACACGACGCGCCCCCTTAAATAATCCTCAGGATTGACGGCTGAGGATCCAGGGATTCCAGCAAGGGACCCGACGACACTCCAACTCGCACCTCACGGGCAAGGTGGCGCAACCACACGAAACTATATTCATTATGAGTTTTGTCAGTATCATTATTTGCAGTATTACCATTGTCGGTCGCATCATCAGTATCAGTATCCTTACCATTGTATTTATTATTATTATTATTATTATTATTATTATTATTATTATCCGAGTGATTACTATCATAAGTATAATTCGCACCATTATCATTATGACTGCTATTATTGCTCAATCTATTTGTATGATCATGATCATATACACATGTATGTACATACGTATATATACACACATGTGTATACGTATGTGAACTTATGCATGTAAAGGTGAAGGTGTATGCATCTGTACGTATGTGTAAACGTATATGTAGATGTATACATACACATTATATATACAGATATATCTATATATGCCTACATTTCACTCGAATGCACAGCTCTCGAATTATGCTGTCGAGTTCTTTTTGCTCCGAGGGAACAGTACACATCGGTGCCATTGCTGCCCTCACACATCATGGATCCGTTGGGGAACAGTGGTTCGACGGGCCCTCTTGGGGCCATCTTGAGGCATCGGAAGGCCATCGGAAACGAACGGGCGAGACAGCCCAAATCATGGGTCTTCCTTGCGTCATGGAGGGCTTTGGCCTCTCGGGGTGGTGCTGGGGAGCTTCCACGGCCACCTGGACCCGTCTTGGAGCGGTCCTTGCGTTATCTGGAGCCATCGTCGATACCATTTTGGATCATTTTCGCGCCCCCTGGGGGCCACATTGTGTTATTTTGGCCACTCCAACGACCCGTGGGGCGCCCCGTTCAGGTCTAGGGGGAGGGGGACGGAGAGGGGGACCTTCCTCCCCGTAGGGGAGGAGCCGGGTTGGACGAGGGAACGCTCTGAACAACATACACCCTAAAGGGCTGGTGGGATGAGTAGCAGACTGCAGTTCGAGCAGGGCTCCTGCCGCCAACTGAGCTGCGTGGAAGAGGCCGCTCTGCGGGGGACGTGTACAATCATGGTGAGTGGGTGTGGAGATCTGCCTCCCTCCTAGACTTCCACGGGTGGCAGGAGGAGCCCGAGTGATGGTGTGGCACGAACGAGAGTGCGAGTACGAGGAGAAGTGGCGGTGCGGGTGCGGAGGGATATGAATTTTCACGTGCACTATCAATGGCAGGAGTCGTAGTCTAGCTACTTCCGCGATGCTGCAGCAACTCCGCCTACCCACCGATCGTACAGACTTCCTCCTTCGTGTCCGTTTTTTTTTTTTTTTGTTTCTTTCACATTGGATGCCTTGAATGACGTGAGCGATGGAAACGTGTTACACGTTGTACCTTGGCTCACGCAATTCGTTCACAAGGACAGCTTGCAGACTGATACGCTCATCTTAGTAGCACATGAAAGCTTCAGGCGAAGTTGTGCAGGGTGGATGGTGTCAGTGACGTCGTGGCGAGTTGCTGGCCAGGTGTGAAACATATGGTTAGTTGGGGTGGCTCTGGAAAACACTGACACTACAGGGGCAGCGAGTTCCACAGAGGATGTCAGCTCGCCTATGAACATGTGCTGGCCAGGCGAGAGGCAGGTGATCTGTGGGGGCGGTTGCTGGCAGATCATTGAGGGGTGGGGGTTCCCAAGAGAAGCTCCATGGGGTGAGGGTGTCATATTGGTTGTGGTCATGTGCTGGCCAGGTGAAACCGATGTGGTCGGCGGGGGCGTCTCTGGGCATACGTCTCATTGAGGGGGGTGGGTGGATATGGGAAAACAAGTCCGGGTGGAGGAGTGTCAGCGAGGTGGACGCCAGGTGGTTGGCGGGCGGGGACGGTTCCAGGCAGAATGCGAAGGGGCGTGTTCGATACGGTAGAGGGAAAGAATTCATGGACACTCCCCCTCCCCCAACATTCAAAGTTGGCACGCGCGGGGAAGACTGCGGTCGAAGTGCAACTCATCAGAGCCACCGCCAATTTGGATCATTGGGGGGAGGGGGGGCATTGATCGTGGGTGTTGGCTGATTTTCCGAGACCTGTAGACAGGTCCCAGGGCAGAGGGTGTCGGCGAGGTGGTGGGCAGATGTTCGCCAGGCGTGGGCCGGGTCGTCGGCCTCCTGCTCCTCCTCCTTGATCCCTCCTCATTCCTCTTTCCCCATCCCTCCTCCCCCCTCCCTCCTCCATCCTCGCTGCTGTTTTCGAGCTTTCTCTTCCACACTGCGGAGCTTGACGCTTCCTCCTGCTGTCTCGATCGGATCCTCCATTTTCTCTCTTCCGAGGACGGGGGGTGTTGCCGATGTGTTGGCGAGGTGTTGGCCAGGTGAGGCCACGGCGGCTGTCAGGGGCAATCCGGGCGGCAAACGAAGGAGGTGATTGGGGCCGAGACGAAGACGTGGTCCATAGGGTGGACGTCAACGAGGTGGTGGCGAGGGGTTTGGCCAGGCGAGGGCTAGGTGGTTGGTGGAGACGGCTCCTGGCAGAACGGTAAGCGGGGGGGGGGAAGTCCCCAGCACAACAATCTGGGGAGAGTGTCAGCGGAGTGGTGGCCAGGTGCTGGCCAGTTGGTGGTTGGGGGCGGTTCCGGGCAGAAATTGGACAGACGTCCAGGGTGGGGGGAGTTGGCGATGTGATCGCCATGTGCTGGTCATGTGAAGGCCGAGTGGTCGGCGGGGAGGGCTCCGAAAGTTCGTGGGGTGTGGGGGCCCAGTGAGTGGAAGAGACCCGGGGGCGGAGGGTGTCAGCCATGTTGTGAGCAGGTGCGGGCCGCGCGAGGGCTGGGCGGTTGGCGGGGGTGGTGGTTCTGGGTGGGCCACTGAGAGGGTACGTGGTCCTGGAAGAGCATCCAGGGGGTGAGAGTGCTAGCGCGATGGCGGCCAGGTTCTGGTTGGGTGAGGGCCGGGTGGTAGGCGGGGGCCGTTCGGGGCAGAACGTTGGAGATCGGGGGGTCCAAGTTAAGTCCAAGTTGGATGGGGTTGTCAGCGAGGTGGTGGCGAGGTGCTGGCCAGGCCAGGACCAGCTGGTCGGTGGGGGCGGCGGTTCCGCGCAGACAGAGGATAGGATGGGGTAGTGCCAGCAGAAGTCCGAGGTGGGAGGTTTTCGGCGAGGTGGTGGTGACTTGTGAGCCAGGGGAGGGCCAAGTAATCGCTGAGGACGGTTCCGGGCAGAACATAGGGGTAGGGGGTTCCAGCCTCAGTTGTGCACGGTGGAAGACCCCAAAGGTGCTGGACAGGGGAGTTCAGATGATCAGCAAGGACTCTCACACGCCTGTGGGCTCGTACGACCTCTGTTCCGATATGGTTGATTTGGATGGATTATGACGGTGCGTCCCTGGAGGATCCTCAGCGAGAAGATCGCCCATGTGTCCCAGCTGCTCGAGGCAGCACTTTACACTTGGTCGACGTCCAGCGATGAATCTCATTGTTTCTTGGCTGTATTCAATATGTCTACTGCTGGGACTCTCCGTCTGCTATCTCAACCTGTTTTTGCCCAACGCGACCGAAGCACACTCTGTGACGATGAAGGTTTCAGGTTGGGACACGGGCAGGAGTCGACGAGGACTCGGGGAACACGAGGGTGCTGCATGCTCATTGCGCAAATGTCATCGGTCTGCTGCGCGGCGATGCATCTAGCTTCAGTCACGCGACAGCATGGGAGCCGTCCCAGGGACACCTCATCGTGCGAGGCTACGTACACACACGGCGCGCCGCACGCTCAACTCGAACTAACGAACGTATGCCTGCCCGCTTGCCCTGATTTGCGCATGCGCCCCTGTTGATTCTTGACGCTTCGCGTATTCCCATCGGCACGCCCTGTGGCCTATGCGCCACTGCGGCTAATTATCTTCGTCCAGCGCCCCGAAGGTTGCCCCGCTTCTTGACATTAGTCCTGGAGCCACCGACCAAAAAAGTATTCCCATCGGCGCTTCCCTGGGCGTTGCAGTTCAGCCAGTCAGCCCCCTGCCGCCGCTGCCTTCCAGCTGCTGCTTCTGAGGGCTGGCCCGGCTGGCTTGTGCTGCGCCTTGTAGCTAATTAGGTTGGCCCGTCGCCCCAGACTCCCTTTCGCCGCCTGCCCTCTGGTGCGCGGCCGCGACCAACAAAAATATTCCCATCGGCGGGGTTCCGTAGCCATCTTGGCTCAAGGGTCTCTGCCCGAGCCCCGTGGGCCCGCCGGCCGCAGCATGGTCGCTGCGGCTGGCTCTCACGCCGTGCTGCTGCGGAACGACGGGACGGCCGTGGCTTGCGGCAACAATGACCTCGGCCAGTGCGACGTCCCGGCGCTGGGTGGAGAAGGCCTGACTTACACGCAGGCCGCTGCGGGTGGGTTTCGCGCCGTGCTGCTGAGGAGCGACGGGACGGCCGTGGCCTGCGGCGACAATGACTTCGGCCAGTGCGACGTCCCGGCGCTGGGTGGAGAAGGCCTGACCTACACGCATGCCGCTGTGGGTGCCTTTCGCACCGTGCTGCTGAGGAGCAAGGGGACGGCTGTGGCCTGCGGCAACAATGACCTCGGCCAGTGCGACGTCCCGGCGCTGGGTGGAGGAGGCCTAACTTACACGCAGGCCGCTGCGGATGACTTTCACACCGTCCTGCTGTGGAGCGACGGGACGGCCGTGGCCCGAGGCAGGAATGAATGGGGGCAGTGCGGCCTGCCCTCTGATCCGATGGACGGATTGGTTGCTGCGCCAGACCTCCCGTTTCCTGTACGTGGCGTGCTCCTCGCCGGCAGGTGCGCTGCCGACGCTGGTTCTGCAGGCGTCTTTCGACGGCGCCTCCGTGCAGTTTCTGACCTTGGGCGGGGTGGAGTTCGACCGAGTCCAGGCGGCGCCCGCCGATCGCCTGGCGGACGTGCGCGCCCGGCTGCTGGCTGGCTGCCTCGCGCGCACGCTTGGCTCCAGGTTCGCCGCGGCCGACCCCGTCCTGCCGGGGGGCGGGCTGCTGAGCCGGGCCCCCGCCGGAGAGACCTGCGCAGGCGCGTTCGGGCGCGCCGTCCTCGGCACACCCGAAAGCGAGTGAGAGCGCCTCCTTGGAAAAAAAAATATCACCGCTCCCGACGCCTTCTAATTCCCGCGCCTTCGGCAATTGCCCCGCGCCGAGCCACCCCGCTCCCCGCGCGATGACGGCACTGCCACGCTCCGTCCTGGCCCCCCTCCTCAGGCAGCCGGTCCCTGCTCCACATGCCCACTTCCTGGCGGGTGCATGGAGCCCCTGGGTGCACGTGGTTCAACCTGTGCTCTCCTGGCCGTCGACTCTGTTGACTACGTCCACGGTTTTCTGACGACAGTGTCTACGGCATTCGTGTTCACTCGTCCACGTGCTTGAAGCGTTCCCCTGCCCAGTTCCTGGTCAGTTCTCCTCGTGCGTCGGCGACCGTGTTCCGGAGTGCGCGTGGCCTCAGGAGCGAGTGTGCGACTTCGGTGGCGCCACTCGTGCTGGCTCCTGGTCAGTGACGTCTTCCTGGCCTTCGGTGGCAGCGTTACCTCCTGGAATGTACTGCAAGCGAGCTGCCCCCTTCAGGGGCTGGGTGCATAAGGTTTCGTGTGATTTATCCTGCGTCTTGTCCTTGCCCTCTGCGGCCACTTGTCAGCGTCGTGTGCAACTTTGGTGGCGCCACTTCCATGCCCAGGTTCCTGGTCAGTGAGTTCCCCCGGCCGTGCCGGTTTCTGCGGTCCTTCGTGGTGGCGCTCCTGGCTTCATCCTGGTTTCGTTCTCGCGCCATCTTGGCTGCGCCACGACTTTGGTCGGCTAATTGCATGTGCGCGCTCCTGGACCTGGTTCCTGGCAGCTGCAGCCCGCACCCCTTTCCGCTTCCGGTGATTTGTGGTGCCGCTTAGGCCTCTGTTTGCTGGCGCGTTAGGCAATTAGGTTCGCGCGCGGCCCGCCCGTTCCGTTTCCCGCCGCCGCGACTAAAAAGTATTCCCACCGGCTGCAATATTGGCACAACCGCCAGAGAGTTGGTCCCCGCAGCGCAACACCACGTGGATTCGATCGTCAGGATCTCTCCCAAGCGAGCAGACGAGGTCCCTGCATCGAAAATTTGATACAAGGCACACCCTTCCCACGAGGGGGCTGGTCCCAGCACGCTGGCCAAACGCCTAGGTCTTTCGAAGCCACGATGCGACTGCAACTACTGGCACACTTCGCCTGGAAGAGTCACCCAGCGGGACACCCCATCCTGGCACAAGCTGGCGCAGTAGCTGAATGTCGTCAACGCGAGCTTCTCACAGCCTGCGACACCGAGTGCAAGCGAAAAGGCGATAATGCCAACAATATTGATTTTCCCTAGGCTTTTGAACAGGTTTGGCATCTTGGAGGGCGCCGTGGAGGGCTCGAAGGGCACTTTGATCCGTCTTGGGGCTGTCTTTGGGCCTCTTGGGGGTATGTCGGAGGCTATCTTGACCCATCTTGAAGTAGCATGGGCCATGTTGGAGGCCATCTTGCGACTTCGAAGCCCTCTTGGAGCAATCTTGGGCCATCTTGGACGCTGTAACGCCTCGGTACCTCCCCCTTCCTGGCCCAGGGGAGGGGGTAGGGGGAGGGGTTTCAGTGGAAAAGAGACGAAACAACGCGTTATACCACCTAAACCCAGAGGGCTGGAGGGACTTGTTAAGACGATTGTGCGTGGCGCTACAGACATAGGCATGTTTTGGAAGCGACCCGACCTCCATCCGTGCAGCTGTTGCCAATTGCAAGCGTCAAGCTCACACATTTTGAGGAAGTCTCAGGCGAACAGTCTGGTCCGCCCTACCGACACACGTCTGGGTGTGCGACAGAGCAGAGTTATCTACAAGGAACAAGGATGGAGGAGGAGGAGGATGAGGAGGAGGAGGACGAGAAAGAGGAGGAAGAGGAGGAGGGGGAGGAGGAGGAGGAGGAGGAGGAGGAGGAGGAGGAGGAGGAGGAGAGGGGAGGAGGAGGAGGATGAATGATGATGAGATGAATGATGATGATGATGATGAGGATGAGGAATATGATGATGACGATGATGATGATGATGATGACGATGATGATGATGATGATGATGATGATGAGGATGAGATGATGTGATGATGATGATGATGATGATGATGATGATGACGATGATGATGATGATGATGATGATGATGATGATGATGATGATGATGATGATGATGATGATGATGATGATGATGATGATGATGATGATGATGATGATGACGACGGATGATGATGATGATGATGATGGATGATGATGATGATGATGATGATGATGATGATTGATGATGATTGATGATGATGATGATGATGATGATGATGATGATGATGATGATGATGATGATGATGATGATGATGATGATGATGATGATGATGAGGAGGAGGAGGAGGAGGAGGAGGAGGAGGAGGAGGAGGAGGAGGAGGAGGCGGGGGAGGAGGATGAGGAGGAAGAGTAGGGGGAGAGGATGGGAAACAGAACAAGGAGGAGCCCTTCGCGGGTCGCGAGTGTCTCTTCGAGGACTCTTGGGGCTTTCTTGGGATCTTCTTGAGGCCTTCCTGGGATCATCTTCAGGCCGTCTCGGGACCATCTTGGGCCCCTTGCATGACTGTTTTTTCTGTCTTCGGGCCCTCGTGGCTCTCGGGGCGGAGGGGTCTTCTTGGGGAGATCTTGGGCCCTATGACTCGAACAGGTGTTTCCTTAATTCCGCCCACTTCCCCCCACCCCCACACCCCACCTTAGAAACATTGAGCCTTGAGACCCTCTTGGGGTACTCTTGGGGGCATCTTGTGAGCCTATTGGGTCGTCTCGGGTCTCTCTTGGGCTCCTCTTGGGGCTCTCTGGGACCATCCTGGGGCCGTCTTGAGGCTTCAGATGCCCATCGGAGGTGAGAAGGCGATGAGGCACAGCATGTTGATTTTGAATAGTTTTGGAACCATTTTTGTCCTCTTGGCGGGCTCCTTGGGGAGCTCCGAGAGCACGAGGAGCCGTCTTGGGGTCGTCTTGGGGCATTTTGTAGGTCTGCTGGGCGATCGGTGGCGGCCATCTTGGAGCCGTCGCCGAGCCATATTTGGCCATGTTGGGCTCTCTAGCCCTTGCGCCCCTCCGTCCAGACCCAGAAGAGCAATCGTTATACTATCTCCGCCCAGAGGGCTGGAGGGATTGCGAAGTCCGGTTCATTGACGCTGGCAAGACGAGTCCGCAGAGAAAGCAGGCCGCAATACTGCGCGTCTGAGCCGAAGCCCACCCACGAGGCAAGGATGCCAGGAGCCCCTCAGCTTCGAGACCGAGCACATGCCCACCAAGATGGAAACGTCGCGAGAAGGCCACTGAAGCAACGCAGCGCACCGGTCCCGTTCGCTCGCTTATGTCTCGCATAGACCGCTCGGAACAAGCGCCCATATCCGCACCCCGTCCCAGTAACAAAACGCACGTGGCATCTTGCAAGTTGGCCGCTGTGGATTGCACCATGCGGGTGGCCGCGGGTCCTCGCTGCCACGTGCTCCCATTTTTGGCTTGACAGGCGTGGGCCAGCCAGCAGCTTGCCCCTCCCCCTCGTGCCGACCTGTTCGACTGATGCGTTAGGGGCTGGTCGGAATCTCTGAGGATGACGTGTGTCAGCGCGGAGAGTCAGGGGAGTGCGACGTGCGAGGCGCGGCTGAAGCCGACGCCCCAGATGCAGATGATTGAGGCCGAGGACCAGGACGACGGGATCGAGGTCCTCCGGCGGCATGATTGCGCTCGTCGCCCCCAAGATGGTCTCTGACCTACCTAGCGGTGGCTGCTGCTGCTGCCAGCGGGGACCGCCAGTTGCATTGCTGGTCTCGTCAAGCATACGAAGGGGCGCAGTCCCTGCTCGCAGAAGCGTGCTATCGCCAAGATCCGAGGGGGAGGTTTTTCCTTGCTGGGAGGTCTGAGGGTGATGTGTACAGGGCGGAACCTGTCAGGATTTCTTTGGACCTACGAGGGTCTTGAGGCCTCTTGAAGGTTCTGGCACCTCTCTGGGTGGATTCCTGCATTCAATCAGGTCCAGGATCTTTTGCGACCGCCCACAGTCATGGCCCAATGAGTGGGTCTTTCTTGGTAGTGTTGGCTTGTAAACATTTTCATAGTTGCGTTGTTTCGGACATCGCAGTCAGGTAATAGCATGGACAGGCGGGTAGCGAAGACAGCCCGTGTTGGCCAGTATGTCGGATCCTGGACGACGTAGGTGTTGGCGACCAGGGTCAAGCAATATGCATCACACTTGTTGCACGCAGTCGGTTCGGGATAGTTTTCTTGATTCAAACATAGTATTGATCGAAGCCCTTTCGGTTCAGTAGTCTGTCGTGAGAGCTTTCGCCGCATCTCTTCTGCCAGACTGGCTGCTTGTGCTCGGCCGCTGTATTTTGCCTGGCCGACAAGCCAGCAAAGGCGCGATCATTTCACAACGCGCCATCTGCCATACTCCATGGATGATAATCGGGCCGGGCGAAAGGGGGGGATTGGGAAAGGGGGGGTACGAAATTTGCTGCATGCAGCTGGTTTCGGCCTCACCGAGGGGCCCATTCCTCGATACATAGCCGCCTCCGGAGCCGGGAGGCGCCGGGAAAATCAGCTACGTGAGCTGATTCTCAAACCCCCCCTTTGCTATCTCCCCCTTTCGCCCGACCCGAGATAACGCAGCAGCGCTTGGGGGGCGTGGCCTCAGGCGGCCATCGGGGACACCCCGGCGTCTTGGGCTGCCAGTTGTGCGCCTGGCGTGTCCGAAGCGCACGCGTGCGCGAGCGGGCCCGGGGAGCACCCCCGGGTCGGCACTCCCCTCGGCAGGCCCACGCCCTGTGCCTGCCACAGAGAGGTGATCACGGGGCCCGGAGAAGATGCCCGTCAACAGGGCCCAAGAGATGCACTTCGGGTCCAGATGGGTGCTTCCGCCCGCAGGGGACCCGAGCCAAGGCCACCTTGGAGAGTGAACTGCTCGCCCTGCAGGGCGACCGCCTTGGCCCTTCGACACTTCAAGGACAGAGAACCCCAGAGGCTCCGTAGCAAGAAACAGCAAAAAACAAAAAAAAAAGAGGAGATGCACTTCGGGTGGGAGGCCCCGACAACCTGGGCGCGAACCGGCCGCTCGACCCCTGGTCGAACTCGTCTTTGGTAGGCCCCGGTGCTGTGCCTGTTGCATCGCGGCGATCATGGGGTGGTGAGAATCAGGAAAGGAAAAAACACAGACACAATTAATCGACGATTCCCCAGAAAATATGCGAAAATATGGGAATTGGGCGGGAAGACAAAAATCCCAGAAAATATGGGAAAATATGGGGGATATTTTTATTTGTGTGTATTTATTTGTGTGTTCCAGTTCCCCTTCAAAGAGATCCACCCACCGGGCCAAGTAGGCGCTGCGCTTGAGAGGCCTCCGCAATCCGGGCGCGAGCGGGTCCGTGGGGCACCTTTTGCTTTTGCGAGAGCCACACGATCGCCGCGATATGGCAGGAGGGGAAAAAACACACAGGCACAACTAATCGGCGATTCCCAGAAAATATGGGAAAATATGGGAAGTGGGGGGGAAGACAAGAACCCAGAAAATATGGGAAAATATGGTGGATATTTTTATTTGTGTGTATTTATTTGTGTGTCCAAATTCCCCTTCAATATGGCAGGCGTGGACCTTGATCACCCCAAGGACAAAACGCCAGGATGCATGACAATCGCCCATTCCCGCCAATGTCGTGGGGATGCCTCAGGCGGTCTGCTTGCTCTGCGGATCGGAGTCGCCTCCTGGCAGGGCCACGATATCACCGCGATGTGGCAGCCGTGGCCATGAGACGCCCCAGGGTCGTGCCGTCAAGTTGGGGGGCATTTTCCCGTTCGCGCCCAAAATCAGCATGCTTCCCCTTGCCCGCATTGAGGTCGGCGCTGACCCAGTTGAGGCATAGCCAGGCACATGTACACAGAAAGCAATCACACACTGCCCATTCATATTCAGATTTATTCGTATGCATACTATGCGTACTCAGCTTATTCTGATCACGCGCTCAGTCCCACTGGAATTCAGACTTGTTCAAACTCAGACTTGCCACTCATGCTCGGGGTCAACCGCGCTGAGACTCACTCGCACTCAGACCCACCCACATTCAGATTCACTCGCATTGGGTCCCACCACGCGGAGACCGTGCACGTTCGCATATACTCATTACGCAGCAGAGGGGCACCCTAATGGGGGAACCGCCATGGGGGTGTTACACGTGCCAGTTCGCAGCCAGTTTGTGATGACGTCTTATCAGAAATGCTGGTCGTGGCCCCCCAGCGCCTCTTCTTGTCGGAGTCGTATGATCATCGCGATTTCGCATGCATGTCATTCGCGCACCCCCAGGAGGAGCCGATAGGGAACGCTCAGTCGCCACAGGCTAATCCGGTCTCATTTAGACACTCACAGCGAGCCGTGCCAAGAAAATCGATTCGTCTGTGGAATTTGATAGGTTGGTTGGTCCCGCGGCGGAGCGGCCTGAGCAGAGGGAGTCGGAGGCGCCGCTTGCCCCGTAGCCCGGTTGCGGGTCGCCCTCGGCCATGCGGGCGCGGGTGCGGCCGGGTGGCGGGCGGCGTGATTCGACTGGGTTGCGGCGTGCATGGCGCGGCGGCTGAAGGGAAACTGGCCGACAGTGGCGGGGCGGCTTCGGTGCATCCGAGGGTCAAGCCTGCGGTGCACAACGATACTCCCAGAGCGGTCGGCGATGTGGTCGCGGTGGCTACCTGTCGCGGCGGAGGAGGAGACGTGCGCGACAATCTCGTGCATGTCCACCAGTTGGAAGTGATTTTGGGCCCGTTGTCACGCGTGGCATGCACGAGCAGAATAGCACAGATAATGCCTTTCGGGGAGAGGCCCCCTCTGGGCGGCCGCGCTGGGAGCAGGCCGCCCCCTCTGGGCGGCCGCGCTGGGCGGCCGCCATGGCCATGGCGGGTCGAGAGCGGCCGCGCTGGGAGCAGGTGCTGGCGCGTCGCAGGTCGGCGAGTGGGTGGCCGTTTCCTCCAAGTTCCGCGTGCGGCTGCGGGCAAGCGCGGGTGAGTGCGGCTGCTTGCGCGAGATTGCCTTCGCTATCGCTTTGGGTCGATGTGTCTTGCCGGTGCGAACGGTTCAACGCCGCGTTGACCGGCCGACGGGGCATGAAGGCTTTTTGGACATTCTGCCCAGGTGAGGTTCACCCGAGCGTCCTTGTCGCAGTCCGTGCTCCCGTCTTTGGTTGCGCGCACGGTCGGCCGCTGGTGTCTCTCTTTCCTACTCCTGCTCCTCCTGCTGCCACTGCTGCTGCTCCTCCCTTGCCGTGCGCCCGCTCCCGTGGCGACAGCAGCGGACCGACCCCTTGCCTGGAGATCCTCCGTCCCTCTCCCAAGACTGGCTTGTCAGCCTGGACCGACCTTGACGGCCTGGGGGCTCCAGAGAAGGCCGCCAGACGCCGAGCCTGGCGACGAGACCTGCGGTGCGATTCTCTCGGGTCGCCGCGGGTCTCCGGCAGCGCGCGCGCGCGCCCGCGCGTGTCCGCTCGTTCGGATGCAGCTCCTGGGAGGTCAAATTCTGAGTTTGCCCTGGTCCGAAATCTGGCTGAATCCAGCTTACTCCCGCCTAGTCCTGCTTCATTCCGCTAAATCCGAGGCTTACTCCGGCGTAACGGCCCCCCAGTGGGGCTTAATCCTCCCAGTAGTTGCCTCATAACGCTCGGCGTCGGCGGCCGCGGGCGCCAGGTCGACGACGCAGACGCGGGCCCAGGGGGCGGCGGCGATGTCGAGGAGGCCCCGGGCGCAGGGTTGGAGGCTCAGGCGGAGGCGCGCGCGCTTCCCGCCCAGCCCAGGGAGGAGGGGCCAGGGACGGAGAGGGGAGGACTTTTCTCAAGCACACCCAAAGGGGGTCCAGCTGAAAGGGGGTGGTGCAATAGATCTGAGGCGATTGAATTGCAAATGTATTGCGCCGGAGAATTGTATTGCATTGTATTGCACGATATGTATTGCACGGGAAAACCCAGCAATACCTATACGACCACCCTTCGGGTCATAAGGAGGTTGTGGGGGGGGAGAGGGGGGGAATCAATATCTGCCTCAATCGATCTCACTATCTCACTCACTCAACGGGACACCACGGGACACCACGGGACTCTTGTCGATCTTACTATCGATCTCACTCAACGGGGCACCACGGGACACCACGGGACAGTACGGACACTTGTCGATCTCACTATCCATCTCACTCAACGGGACACCACGGGACACCACGGGCCACCACGGGACACCACGGGAAAGCACGGGACACTTATCGATATCACTATCGATCTCTGCACGTGAAACCACGGGACACCGACGGGACACCGATGGGACACCGACGGGACACAATCGATCTCACTGTCGATCTCACTATCCATCCCACTATCGATCCCACTATCGATCTCGCCATCGATCTCACTATCGATCTCGCTTTCGATCTCACTATTCATCTCACTATCAATTCCACTATCGATCTCGCTATCGATCCCACTCGATCGATCTCACTATCGATGTCACTATCGATCTCACTGTCGATATCACGATCGTCTCATTATCGATCTCACTATCGATCTCACTATCGATCTCACTGTCGATCTCATCACGGGACACCACGGGACAACGACGGGACACCGGCGGGACACAAGCGGGACACCAGCGGGACACCAGCGGGACACCGCGCGCCACCAGTTGCCGGGCGGAGAACCTTTGGGTCCAGCCGCAGCCCAGCCACGACGGGACACCGGCGTGACACCAGCGGCACACCAGCGGGACACCGGCGGGACACCGCGCGCCACCGGTTGCCGGGGGGGGGAACCATTTGGTCCGGCTGCGCCTCAGCCACAGGGGAATTTCTTCTCCCCTGCCCACGCAGTTTCGCCTCGCCCGCACGCACGGCATGCACGAACACGAAACCGAAACCGATTTCCTGGTAGGGGGGCTCTCCGTTCCACTTCGATCTCACCCACCAACCTCCGACATTTGTGCCCCGGATTGTATTGCACGCCCTAAATGTATTGCAACCCCACAACTCTATTGCACCAACTTTATTGCACCACCCCCTTGTCGCTGGAGCCCCTCTTGTCTGGACGCCCGAAATGGGTACGGAAAGAATGGGTACACTGCCCAACAGCAGTTCCTGTTCATTTTGATCAGGACTCGCTGTCCGCGCCGCCGCGGCCTGTGTCCGCCTGAGACAGAAGGCCGCCTGCCCAACAGCGGCCGCTGTTGGTTTGGGACAACAGTTGTTGTTGGGCACTGTACCCATTCTTTCGGTACCCTCATGCCCGTGAGAATAAACACTAGGGGATAATAAAGTTCGGGGTTCAGGGAGAGATAATAAAAGTAGCCCAGCAGACCTCAGCATAATCTCGAAATTTTGGGTCAAATTTCGGGCGTCCAAATTTTGGGTCAACCCGATTTTCGTCGGGCGACCAGGCCCTGCAGGCTTGCCGCGTGCAGGGGCTGGCCAGGCTCGTGCTGGGCCCAGCCCATGGGGGCGGTGCGCGTGCTCCCTTCGGCGTGGGCGCTCCGACCTTGGGGCCCTTTCGACGGCTCTGGGCAGGTCGAGGGCGCTTCTGTTCCTTCTCAAGAGCAGCTCGTGCACGGTGTGGGCGGTCTTTTGGGTCCCATGGTAGTGGGCTTCCCGAGGCCTCGGGAGGCCTCCGGGGGATTTTGGAACCTCTGGGGGCGTCTCGGGGACCTCCAGCGGCCTCCGGGGACCCTGAGAGACCCCTTGAGATTGGTTTTGCTTCCGGCACCTCCTCGCCGCCCTCCTCCTGCTCCCCCCTTCTCCCCCCCTCCCTTTCTGCCTCTCTCCTCCTTTTTTTTTGCTTCCGACATCTCCTCACCGCCCTCCTCCAGCTCTCCTCTTCTGTACCCCCCCCTCTTTTCTGTCTCTCTCCTCGATCCTCCCCCCTCCTCCTCCTCCTCCTCCTCCTCCTCCTCCTCCTCCTCCTCCTCCTCCTCCTCCTCCTCCTCCTCCTCCTCCTCCTCCTCCTCCCTCTCCTCCTCCTCCTCCTCCTCCTCCTCCTCCTTCTCCTCCTCTCGTTGAGCGGACATGACGGCATTGCCTGTTATGTTCGCACTGCAAAAACGCCGCGAAAGGGCGTGCGTAGCGGGAATGCACCAAGAGGCGGCAGAGGAATGCAACAGAAAGAGAGGCCCGCCAGGGCACAGAGCATGCGCGCGCTCCTCCTCTTCCTCCTCCTCCTCTTCCTCCTCCTCCTCCTCCTCCTCCTCCTCATCACTATGTCTAGTCAAGGTTAGCAGTACAGTAAAAGCATGTGCATCAAAAACAGGCGACGTGTGTAGCATGCAGCAGATAGGCTGGCACAGACAGTGCTGGCTGGCCTGAGGTAGTGCAAGTACTGATGTAGACTGAGGCTGGCACACGTGACGCAAATCAGGCGCGTGCGGCAATTCTTGGGCTGCTACCTAGGATGTTTCGGTTCACCGGGAACCTCCTCGGCCTCGGGACCCGCGTCCCTTTCGCACTCTTTTTCCACCTCCGATCACTTCAGATGAGCACCCTGCGTAGAAGAGCGCCTCCTGTCTCGCCCCACAGCAGTTTGCGCGCCACCCAAACTCTGAATTCAGGTCGCCCCTCGCTTGCCTCACTTCCTTCCAATGCGGCACTCTGCAGCGAGGATCATCCCGCTAAGAAACTGAGGGGGAGAGCGGGGCCGGTGGAGGCAGCAAACCTTTGCGAGCATGTGGCCGAGGAGAGGAAGTGAGCGCAAGACAGGTGTCTTGGGTCAGGGGTCGGGGCGGTCGTCGCTGCTTCGCGCTCTGGCTTTTTACACCGTGGCTTGGACTTGTCTCGGGGATCTTTTTTGGGCCAAGGCCTGCTTCCAGCCTTCGCGGCAGGGTCCGCCTCTCCCAGAGAGCCTGCTGGGCCTTCCCGAGGCTCTCGGCAGGCCACCGCAGCCACGACCAGCCGGACGCAGCCAGAACAGTGCCCGTGGCCGTCGCCCAGCTCGACGCGATGGCGGCCGGCGGTGGCGGCGGTGGCGCAGGCGGCGGCGGCGGCACAGGCGGCGGCGTCGGCGACCCGCGCCCAGGCCGGAGCCGAGGGAGCGCCGGAGGCGGCGGGCCCTCCCGCGCCCGGAGCCGCTGCGCCGCCCGGGGCCGCCCCCGCGCCCGGAGCCGCAGCGGCCCCCGCGCCCGGGGACGCGCCGCTGCTCGAGGCGACGGCGCGCACCGCGCACCGCGCACCGCGCCGGGACACGGTGACAGCCGCTGCCTCCGAGGCGTGGCCCGGGGTCTCGAGGGCCCTAAAACGACGCGGAGATCGGGACAAAATCGGATCGGGATAACTCGAAATCTCTGAGAATCGGCGGGTTTGGAGGATGTATTGGGCGCCGCGGCCGCTCCAGAGCGTTCCGGAACGCTCTGAGAGCGCTCCGGAACGCTCTGGAGCGATTTATCCCGATCCTAGCCCTGTTTTAGGCCCGTCGATGAGTGGTGCGCACATGGGTATATCTCCGCCCTTCAGGGTGCAGGGTGGGAAAGTGTCCATGTCCATCACTCCCCAGTCGGCGGCGACCCCAGGGGGGAGGTGAGAGGGAGAAGGTCTTCTCAGAAGGCTGGGGAGTCCCCCCGCCTTCTGAGAAGTTTTCTGAGCCTTCCCGAAAGCACAGAAACCCGCCGCCTTCTGAGAAGGCCTTCTCCTTCTCACTTCCCCCCTCGCTCGCCGCCGACCCAGGGATGCAGGGCAAGACTCCAGCAGCCGTGAGTGCGGATGTTTCCTGGCGTTTCGCCACCGACGCCGATCTCGCCGATAGCCTTCCTGCGGTTTTGCGCTCGGGTGTGCCTCCTAGGGGGTCTTCGCCGCCGCGGCTGGGCTCGCTTCGGGATTTGGGTCAGGGCGCACACTCTGGGAGGTACCCGTGTTAGATTCCCACGGGGTTGGGACGCAGATAATCCGTTCCCGAGCGTTCTGGAACGCTCTGCAAAGAGTGCGGCGCCAGAGACATCCTCCAGAGGCGCCAGATCATAGAGATTCTTGCTGTATCCTCATACGATTTTACCCTCGTCCTAGTTTCGTTTTTTTGGTGTTATATATATATATATATTTCTTTCTCTCTCTCTCTCTCTATATATATATATATATGTACGCCACCCCCGGATCGTCATTGGGTCCCCCCCACCTTCACCACTGAGAGTTGAGTATCCTTGGCCAATACGGACGGCATCGTGGGGGAAAATTGCGAATCGAAGTTGTTCTCTTCTTATGTTGAGTAGCAAGGATTCCTAAGGCTTCCCAGTGATTTCCTAGTGTATCCTATGGATGTCCTAGGGAATCCGATGGATTTCCTTTGGATTTCTGTGGATTTCCGAAGGAGTCCGATGGATGCCCTAAGGAATCTCATGAATTTCCTACGGACTCCGAAGGCAATCTTATGGAATTCATGAGGAATCCTATGTTTTTTCCTCCGGAATCTTATGGATTTCCCAATTGTGTATATATATATATATATATATATATGGTTGTGGATTTCCAGAGGAATCCAATGGATTGCCTAAGGAATCCGACTAAAGAATCCTATGCACCTCCAAGGTAGTCCGATTGATTTCGTAAGGAATCTTTTTTTTTATTTCCAAAGGATTCCCGTGGATTTTCTAAGGAATCCAATCGATTTTTTAAGCATTCCCATGGGTTTCCTGGGGAACCCCATGGATTTCCGTTGGAATCCTATGGATTTCCTATGGCATCCTCTGGATTTCCTACGGGATCGTATTGATTTTCCAAGGAACCCATGAATGTGCAGAAGATTCCCCAGGGATTTCCGAAAAGGAATCTCATAGTTTTTAAGGCATCCTATGGATTTCCAAAGGAATCGTACGGATTTCCCAAGGAATTCTGTGGCTTTCCGAAGAAACCAATGGATTTCCAACGGAAGCTTCTGAATTTCTTTAGGAATCCGATGGATTTCCTAAGGAAGCCTTTCTGGACTTCCTAAGGGATCAGACTGATGTCTGGAGGAATTCTATAGTTGTCTTACGGATTCCTATACATGTCCTAAGGAGTCGTATGTATTTTTCAAAGGATTTCCATGGGTTTCCTTTGGGATCCGATGGGTTTTCTGAGGAAGTCGATGGGTTTTGCAAGGACGTCTATGGATGTCTTCAGGAATTTCATGGATTTCCTCATAATGCTGGTCGATGTCCTAAGGCTTCCTATATATTTTCTGAGGAATCTCATTGATGCCCTACGGAACCCAATGGAAATCCATAAGGATTCCGATTGATTTCCCAAGGAATTTTACGGATGTTACTTTTTTGATAGATGTCCCAGGAATCTTATGTATTTCCTAGGGATTCATAGGGGTTTCCTTTTGGAGCCCTATGGATAATCTAAATGAAGTCCATGGGTGTTGTAAGGACGACTATGCATATCTTCTTTGGAATCCTATGGATTTTCCCAAGGATTCCTGTCACTTTCCTAAGGCATCTTGTTGATTTCTCAAAGAATCCTCTTCCTCCTCCTTGCGCGCCCAGCCCGAGGTTTTTGTACCCCCGCTGTTTTTTTATATTCCCGCCAGTGAGCCGCCATGGGCCCCTTCCTACGCATGTGCCGTTGAACATTATCCAGAATAGTTGATGTTTACAAACAGAAAGCCTCAAGTCCCGAATCGAAGTTTTTTTTTTTTTTTTTTTTTTTTTTTTTTTTTTTTTTTTTTTTTTTTTTTTTTTTTTTTTTTTTTTTTCCTGTGTGTGTGTGTGGGGGAAAACTGGTACTGGGAGTCCTCCTCCTCCTCCTCATCATCCTTCTCCTAAGGATTTCCATTCGAATTGTACATCTTGCCGAAGGGCGCCGATGGATTTCCTGAGGAACCCTATGCGTGTCCCAGGAAATCCTATGGTTGTATGGATGTACTCGGGAAACCTATGGCTTTCCTAAGGACTCCTATGGATTTTCTTAAAGCATTCCATGGCTTTCCGAAGAAAACCTCTGGATGTCCGGAGGAAGCCTATGGATTTCCCAAAGAAAGAGAGAGCGTGATCCACCGCCGTTTTACTATGGAGAATTCCCCCCCTCTTCCTCCGAACCCCGGTGGTCTCCCCCCCCCTCCAAAAATCCCCTCCCCCCCTCTGCCGACCCCCCCCCCCCTCTCTTTCAGCACCCCCCCCTTAATCCCTCCCCTCCCCCTCCTCCGGAAAACTGGGGGGGGTCACTACCGGTTCGAACCCCGCCCTTCCCCCCCCCCTCCGCCTCCGGAAAACCGGGGGGGGTCACTGCTGGTTTGAACCCCCCCCCCTCCCCCCAGAAAACCGGGGGGGTCACTACCGGTTCGAAGCCCCCCCCTCCGGAAAACCGGGGGTGGTCGCTACCGGTTCGACCACCCCTCCCTCCCCACCCCCACCACTCTCCCCACTTTCACCACGGTCCCCACCACTGTCCCACTGTCCCCACTGTACCCACCACTGTCCCACCGTCCCCGCCGCTGTCCCACTGTGTTGTCCCACCGTCCCCACTGTCCCCATCACTCTCCCACTGTCCCCACTGTCCCCACCACTTTCCCCACTGAACTACTGTCCCACCACAGTCCTCACCACGGCCTTCACCGTTGTCCCCGCAGTCCCCACCACTGTCCCACTGCTCTCACCACTGTCCCGCTGTCCCCTCACCACTGTCCCCACCGCCACCGTCCCCGCCACTGTCCGCACCACTGTCCCACTGTCCCCGCACCACTGTCCCCACCGCCACCGTTCGCACCACTGTCCCAGTATCCCCACCATTGTCCAACTGTCCCGAGGAGCGGGGATCGTTTGCCAGCGGCGAGGGGGGGGGGAGGGGGCCGGTAGTGACCCCTCCCGGTTTTCGAGGGGGGGGGTTCGATAGTGCCCCCCCCTTTTTCATGATGGACTGGGGGGGGGGGAGGGGGGGCGGGTTCGAACCGGTAGTGACCCCTCCCCGGTTTTCGAGGGGGGGAGGGGGGTTCGAACCGGTAGTGACCCCCCCCCGGTTTTCCGCCAGCAGCGGTAGATAGAACACGCTCTTTCAAAGGAGCTACATGTATTTCGCAAAGAATCCAATGGATTTCCGAAGGAAGCCTATGCATGTCCTGGGGAGTCTTACGAAATTCCGAAAGTTTTTTGTTATATATATATATAATCAAGGAAGGAATATTGTGGATTTGTCAAGGAATCCCATGGAGCCTCCCAAATGAATCCCAATGATTTCTGGAGAAATCCTATGGATTTACTGTGGATTCCTATGGAATTCCTAAGGCATCATGTGTACTGTCGCAAGGAACCCTATCGATTTCCAAAGGGATCTTATTGATGTCTTAAGGAATCGGACGGATGTCCAAAGGAATCCTATGCATTTTCTCAGGAGTCTTATAGATTTCCATCGGGACCCAACGGGTCACATTGGATTTCTGAAGGAAGCCGATAGACCTCTGAAGGACTCCTCGGGCCCCGCAACGGGACTACACAGAAGGACTGCAAGTTCCCCAAGCGGGCCAAACTACACTGTCGCATCTGCAGGTCAAGGCCTCCCAGATGGGATCCGAGTAGATGGGGTCGGAGGATCGCATCGCTGACGCATCGCCGATGCGGCTCGATGCAGAGCCCGTCTTTCTCCACGCTGACGTCGCCTATGCGTCGCCGACGTCGCCGATGCATGGCGGATGCGCGACCGATGCATCGCCGATGCTGCGCGACGAGGCCTCTAGCAGGGCACCTCCGCGCGCCGAGCTCGCCGAGCAGTGCGCGATCATGAACTGCGAGCAGATCGCGGAGGGCGACGCCCTCGAGTTGGGCGCTGTGAACGCGCTGCTCGGCCAGATCGAGGAGCGTGTCGGCGTCCCCGGGGGCGTTCTGGTGATCGAGCCCACGGCGGCCGTCGTATGGGCCCGAGTGGGCCAGGGCGAGGGCGAGCCCGCCTCCCAGCAGCCCGAGGAGCAGAAGCGCTGGGCCGAGAGAGTCCAGAAGGCCGAGCGCCTGCTGATCACGGTTCGTTCCGAGGCCCCCGCGCACCACGCCTACCTCATGGTGTCCAAGCAGGGTGCGGGCGCGGCCGTCGAGTACCGCGGCGCCCTCGAGCAGCCGTGCGGGAACGCCGAGCAGGCCGCCGCAAAGATCACCCGAAAGCTTGGCGCCATCGGCCCTGCCGAGGAATGCCCTGCGAGCAGCAACGAGATGTTCCAATCGGATGGCTGGTCTTGCGGGCTCAGGGTGACGAGGTGGGCCGAGCGCGCCTTGCGCGAGATTCGGGGCGAGGGCCGCCAGCTGCCCATCGGCGTCGCCCGCGCGCGCTTGAGGCGACGAGTGGGTCCAGAGGCTGCAGGGCGCGAGCGACGACCACTCCGCCGCGGCCAAAGCCAAGGCCGAGGCCAGGAGCAAGGGCGAGGCCAAGCCGCCGGGTGACCCGACAGCGCCAGAACCCAAGTGCGGCAATCTCGAGGAGGCACAAGCTGCAGCGCTAGCGTGTGCGAAGTCCTCCCGCGCAAGGACGGCTCCAAAGGATGCCGAGCCTGCGTGGGCGAGTGGTTTGACCTCGCGCGCGAGAGAGAGGTTTCTAGGCGAGGACCGCCAAATACTTCGAGCTCTCAGGTCTGGGGCCAACTCTCGCCGAGCACCGAGAGCCGTAAGAGCGTGGGATCATCAGTTTCATCGTCGCCATCATCGTCATCATCATCATCATCGTCATCATCATCATCGTCATCATCATCTTCGTAATCTTCTGCCCTCCCCCCATGTGGGAGCCCTATGGATTTCCTCAACAGGTTGCCTTAGGATTCCGATGGCTATCCCTAGGAATTCTGTGGATTGCCATATGATTCTTCTAGCTTTCCAACGGAATGATTTTGATGTTCTCAGGCGTCCGATGGAATTCTGTTGGGCGGCAATGGATTTACCACGGGATCCTGTGGGTTTCCGTTGGGTTTCGTAGGATGTCCGAAAGTATCATATGCATGTCCGAAGGGATCTTTTGGATTTCTGATGGGACCCCGTAGATTTCATATGATCCCGTTCTAAATAATATTAACGATGCTAAATATAATAAAGAAACGACATTCCCACGGGTGTCCGACCCGAAGGCATTTCAGTCTATTCTTGGGGAATCCAATCGGTTCCCTAAGGAATCGTGTGGGTATCTTCAGGAGTCCTAAAGATTCCCATGGGGTTTTTATGGGTTTCCGGAGGAACTGTGGGCACAATGTTTTTTTGTCGAAGGGATTTGACAAGTTTTTGCTTATTGAGGCTCCTTAGGAGAGCCTCTTAAGGCTCTCTTGGGGCTTTTTGGTGGCGTCTAAGGGCCGTCTGGAAGCCATCTTGGGCGTCTTGGGACGATCGTGCGGGTCGGCAAGCTGGAAAAGTCAATTCGAGCTCCCGCGTTGGGCCCCTCGCAGGGCTGGCTGTCTAGGGCTGTCCAGGGGGCCTCGTGGGGCGTCTTGGGACCCTCTTGGGCCGTGTTGGGCCCATCGTGGGAGTGTTGGATCGTCTTGGGGCGATCTCGAAGGTCTCTTGGGCAGTGCTGGACGCGCTGGACCCCGAAACGTCGCTTAATTCGCAACATGTACGTTTACTGAATGGAATGGGGCACTTTTTGCTTGTTGAGACTTTCTAGGAGAGCCTTCTGAGGCTCTCTTGGGGCTTCTCGGCGGCGTCTTGGGCCGTTTGGCGGCGACCGAGCGCCCCATTGCCGGGAACTGACCGGGTACTTTTCGTTCGGGGGCCCCCAGGGGCAGCCCCACGCGGGCGACTTAGAAAATTGCAAACCAGTTATAGGAGTTCTTAGCACGCCTCTGGCCCGTTGGACCAGCGAATTTTCTGGGGCATTGGGAAGGAACGCCTGCGGCCCATTGATCTGGCGAAGGACCCAACCCTTGCTTTCCCCCTTTGGGCTTGAACGGTATAGACAGAAGACGGGTCCCTCCGTAACCTTTGGCTCAAGGCCATTCTTCCTCCACCCACCTGCTGATATCCCGGCTCATTCACCAGTCCTTCCAGATCCCGATCCCTCGCACCTATTCCTTTACCCTTCCACGTCCGTTGCCTACGAGTGGACACAGCGCGGTGCGATCGGAGATCGCGGTGGAACCGAGTGCGAGCAGAAAGAGTGAGAGGACACCACGTTATCCTCCGACGCAGTCCGTGGGAGAGCAGTATCACCTTAAGAAGACTGTTGGCTGAACTCAGACCGCCCTTCAATATTCTCTCTATAACAGCATGTCCTGAGGATGAGAGTGAGGACGGATTCTGCAGCTCTGGAGGGCATACCCCCACATATCTGAGCTCGTCGCCTGGCTAGTTTTGGCTCCAATGGCCGCAGGATGCCGTGTGATGCCACGTGATGTCGAGGTTCGGTTTGGCCGGGGTGGTGAGCTTTCGGTGAATTGCCGCCCATTCTTCAGAAGGCCTTCTGCAACGGTTGTGGCGCCTTCGGTCAGATTCTTGCGTCTGGCTGGCACGACTACGAGCCGAGGTGCAAAGAGCCACATCGCAGAAGCGTGGTTCTCGGTGATTTATTCGTATCGCGCTACTTTATGTGAGCCCTGGTCGTGCTGTCGTTTTCTCCGCCACGGCTCGGACTGTCTCCCATCATTTCTGCTCGCTGGCCGCAGGCGCGTTCAGCAATCTGCAGCAGCTTTTGCGCGTCCCAGGCGATTCGCCTGAGTGGCCTGACGTGGCTAAAGCGAGGCCCTTGGTGTGTTGGTCAGCTCGGCTCGGCACCAGTGGCAGTGGCGGTGGCGACAGCCCACGCCCAGGGCGGAGCCGGTGAGGCGCCTGGGGCGCCGGCTCATCACGCGCCTGGAGCAGCTCCTGCGCCTGGAGCAGCTCCCGCCCCTGCGCACCACGCAGTGGTGCCCCGCGCGCGCCCGCCGCCGCCGCCCCGCCGCTGTCGTCGTCGTCGTCGACGTCGTCGTCGACGTCGTCGTCGTCGTCGTCGTCGTCGTCGTCGTCGTCGTCGTCGTCGTCGTCGTCGTCGTCGGGGAGGGTCGTCGGGGCAGGGGGCCAAGGTCTCCGCAGAAGGCGGCCGCAAATCAGCACCGCTTCCGACCAGGGCCACTCTGGGCCTCGTGGCAGTGGCCGGGGCTAGCTTTGGTGGTGCAGAGCCGCCATCTGCGGAGCTTATCGTCCAGTGGGCCTCCTCCTCCCCCTCCTCCCTCCTCCTCCTCCTCCTCCTTCCCCTCCTCCTCCTCCTCCTCCTTCTCCTCCTCCTTCTCCTCCTCCTCCCGTTCCCTACCCTCTGGGGGCTTCTTGGTCCTGGCCAGCTCTCCGTCGGCCGACTTGCTCGGGCGCCGGGACGCCGGCTCACTGTGGCGCCCAGCCTGGTGCTCGCAGGTGCCGGGAGTCTCCCGTGCGGAGCAGCTGTTCTGTGTAACCGGCAGGGTATGTACGGCCTGACCTACCGAAAGACGTTTCAGACTCTCCCTCGGCCGCGCCTGCGCAGCAGGCGCTGGGAGCGTCGAGCAATTTCACAGCCGATTCAGCGAAGAGAGCCGTGCGGCTGCAGTGGAGGGTGGCGTGATCGGAGGGGTCTGACGTCAGACGAGATGTGCGTGTGTGTTCCCAGTTTTGACGATTTGCGCAGCGGGCCATTCCTGATCGCCCTTTCGCTTTAGCCAGGCTGCGGACAAATTGTTTCGTCCCTTGGAGCCATCGTGCTGGTCGAGGCTAGGGCGTACCGTTTCCACGAGCGTTCCATCCCCCCTGCCCTACCTCCTTCCGTCGAGCGGGCAAGCCACCCGCTCGTACGCTCATGCCTCATGCGCATGTTTTTTTGTTGTTGCTTTGTTCATTTTTCTTCGGTGCACCTGATCGTGAAGCCCTTTTGGCTGGGGTCAAGACGTCGACAGTGGTGATGATGTGGGCGGCAACATAGAAGCAGTGTCGAATGAGCGTGTTGGCGAAGATGAAAGCGTCTGCTGCGCGCTGCGGGGTTGATGTCGCCCCTCGCCCCCTCCTGTCCTTCCCCTGCTCCGTGGGACTGCATCGTGTGGTCGGCGTCACGCTCTGATCCAGCTGCCCGCGGTGAGCCCCGCCACCGAGCCAGCGCAGAATCAACACGCAGGCAGACTGTTTACCCCGAGCTGTCCCCAACATGTCCGAGTCGGTAGAACCATCCTGGGTCGTATCGACATGAGCACGCAGGTGCTGCCGGCGTAGCGCGGCGATAACGTTGCGTGGCTGCTGCGTGACCTCTCGGGGGACTCTTCGGGGCGTGGGGGGGTCTCTTGCTCGCCTCATGGGGCCTCCTCGGCGTCCTCTCGGAGGCTTCTGGGAGGTCCTTTGGAGGCCTGATGAGGGCTTGGAGGACAGCGCGATAGTTCCACCGAGCTCTCGCGAAGATGTTCGTCAGAGCATCCTGTGATATTCTGGACAAGTTATGTGGCCGTCTTTGAGCTCTCTCGAGGCGGTCTTGTGCAATTTTGAGGGCTCTCGGGCCGCCTTGGGCCCCTCGGGCGTCGTGGGCCCTCTTGGGGGCTTCTCTGGGCGCTTTGAGGCCGTCGTGGGGCCCTCCGACGCCTTCAGGCGCCATCTTGGGCCGAACCGCTCGGGATGCTTGTGCCTCCCAGGGCTATAGCTTCTCTGGGGCCTGTCTGGGGTTCCCAGAACATACTGGGGTCTTGGTGGATTTTTGGGGTTGTTGCGGACTTGTCTCGAGGCCGGTCCCTGGCCGTCTTGGTGACGTCTCTTGGCGGTGAGGAGCACCCATGAGCAAAACGTACGGGGGGTGAGTTTTACACACAGGTGCGCTAGCAGAGGGAGGTAACTATCGCCATCAGTAGCCTGCGGCAGCGTTACCATACAGTGTTCTGACCCACACAACGCGCCAGAGGCACGGTGGCGGACTTGTTGACCTTGTTCGCTATGAAGCCCTTTACGTAGTAACTCGGCCGAGCTGTCTCGGGGGGGTTCTTCGCCGAAGGCGTTTCCAACTTTCTGCAGCAGCTTGAGGACGTGCGGGGCAATTCGCCGCCCTCGTGGACGGCAGCAACGGCCGGGCGGACGTGGCTGAGCCAGGCAGGGGACCCAACCTTGTGCTGCTGCGAGTAGCGCAGCGGGTGGTCCTCTCCTCATGCACGTGCTTGCGCCGCTGCAGGGAGGGGTTTGGAGCATCCTTTGAAGGCCCGGTCCGTATGCGGGGTAGGCCGAAACGGTTGCGGCGACACTTTGCGATCTCTCCTGTTGTCGCTGTAGGCTGAGCTGCCTGTGGGGCACGATCCGTGTTTGTGTTTGTGTTTGTGTTTGTGTTTGTGTTTGTGTGTGTGTGGGTGTGTGTTTGTGTGTGTTTGTGTGTGTGTGTGTGTGTGTGTGTGCTGCAATGGGCGCGGCGACTCTATTGGAGAGTGTCCATTGGAGCCGTAGGTGGAGCTCCTCATGGGGCGTGTTCCGTTTGATGGGTGTGCCGAAGTGGACGCGCAGTGCCGTAGGAACGCTCCCGCTGGGGCTATAGGTGGAGCTTCTTCTGGTCCACGATCTGTCAGAGCGGTGCGCCGAAATGGGCGCGGCAACGCCGTAGGAACGCCCTACGTCGGGGCCCTGGGTGGAGCTGCCTGTGGGGCACGATCTGTGAGAAGGGTGTGTCGAGATGGGCAGCAGCAGCAGCAGCAGCAGCAGCAGCAGCAGCAGCGTGCAGCAGCGTGCAGCAGGCGGCGCAGCAGCGGCTTTAGAAGAAGGGGGGTGGGGAATGTGGGCATCAGAGAGGCAGATGAGCAGCGCAGTGGAGGGAAAACACGACCCCCCAAACATTGGAGGATTGGAGTGACATTGCCCCATTGTCGTTCACCTCGATCTGGTAGCAGTGGCGGCGTGCTCAGCCGAGTCGGCGGCGGCTGCGACACACGCCCAGGGCGGAGCTGGTCATGCGCCCGGGGCCCCAGCTCATCATGCGCCTGGAGCCCATCATGCAGACGGATCCATTCATGCTCCTCACCCGCACCATGCTATGGCGCCCCGCGCGCCAGCTACCCCTGGCCGGCCGTCTCCAAATCCAAGGGCAGCCTAGCGAGTGTGCACGTGTGTATGATGACTTGGGCGGGGCATGAGACGTCTTCCTTCGATTTCCTGTCCTTCGACGCCCCTTGGTCCTAACCACCCTTGGATGCCCGTGGACTTTCAGTGAGTCAGCCGATTTCCTCGCATGCTTGGGCATGATCGATGCTGCAACTCTGAGGTGGGGCCCCTCCTGTACCGCCCGCGCGGCGCCCTGGAGGGAGCCCTAATCCTCTTTGTTTTTTCCCTTGCCCCTTCATTCTGAGATCTTTGGTCCAGGGTCGGGTCCCCCCCCAATGCTCATGTGTTCGGCCCATCGCCCTCTTCCCCTCCCCTCGATGGGATCCCCACCCTGTGGGTGTGGGGTGGTGCCGTGGTGCCCCCCCCCGTGGTGTGGGGTGGTGCAGTGCACCCCCCCCCTGCCCCCCTTCAAAGTGGGTGCGGGGGCCGCCAGTAGAGGTCCCGCGATTGTCTTAGTGGTGGTGGTGGTGGTTGTAGTGATGGTGCTGGTCGTCGTCGTCGTCGTCCCCTGCCTCCCTTGTCGTCGTCGTCGTCGTCGTCGTCGTCGCCGTCGCCGCCGTCGTCGTCGTCGTCGTCGTCGTCGTCGTCGTCGTCGTCGTCGTCGTCGTCGTCGTCGTCGTCGTCGTCGTCGTCCCCTGCCCCCCTTGTCGTCGTCGTCGTCGTCGTCGTCGTCGTCGTCGTCGTCGTCGCCGTCGTCGTCGTCGTTGTCGTCGTCGTCGTCGTCGTCGTCGTCGTCGTCGTCGTCGTCGTCGTCGTCGTCGTCCCCCGTTCCACCCGGGGCTGGGCCGCGGGGGCCCTGGGACCCTTCCCGCCTGGGTGAGTGGGGCCCGGGGGCCCGGAGCCCGGGGCCCAGCTGCAGTACTGTCGAGCCCGCAGCGCGGGAGTCACGGTGGCCCCCCAGGGCAGGGCTCGTTTCGATTCCTCCGGTCCGAGTCGACTCGACTTCGGTGGCCTCCGATTCCGATTCGCTTCGACTTGGCTTTCCCCGCTTCGGGCTCCGGCTTCTCACTGGAGGCATCGCAGCCTGCCGATCTCCGCCGCTTCGGCTTTTCCCGACTCGGCTGCCGACTTCCGCCGATCCGGTTCACTTCGATCGCCGATCCGATTCATCGATTCGATTTTGGGCCCTCCTGCCCCCAGGGGGAAATTTGCGCGCAGATTTTGCAACCAGTGGGTGTTAGGGATACTGCGATGGACTTGATCTCCACCACCACCACCACCATAGGATGGAGGGGGGAAGGAGGTGGAGGACGAGGAGGAGGAGGAGCAGGAGGAGGAGGAGGAGGAGGAGGAGGAGGAGGAGGACCCCCTCCCCCTCCAACTTATGGTGTTGTTGGTGGTGGAAAACTTGCATATCATACTGCCTCGACGAGGGTCGGTACCAATCGTTGCAATGTTTCTTGGGGACGTATTTGCGCCCCTTGGGGGATTTTTGGCGGTCTTGGTGGCCAGCTATAAGGATTTTTGTTTGGGTCCACGGGGCACGACGTACGTGATGGAGGCGTCGAGGAGCCGTCCCGGGGGCCAGCGGAGCGACCAACATGCACGAAGTGCGTGAGAGGTGTGTCGAATTGAGGTTTCCGTCAAAATTAATGGCAATTAATTCTTGTTTTACTCAGGCGATCGCAAACATGGATCAAGGGGGCGTGGGTTAGCGACGGGTCCCGTTTCCATTGGCAATGGTGGATTCCCGCCGCCGAAGGAGGCGGCACCGGCCGCATTTTGGGGAGGGCACCTCCCCGATCCATGGATTTGGCGACCGCGCGCCAAATCCATGGATTGCTAATCCATGCTTGCGCGCCCCCGAGAGGTGTGTGTCGAATTGAGGTTGCTGTCGAAATGCATTGCCATTCGCTCGTATTTTACGCCTCCCAGGCGCTTCGAGACCCGAGCCAATCTTTTCCTTACGTGAACCCCAAGAACCCGAGACCGCAGATCGCTCGTAGTTTTACCGTGCCCCAATAGCGTGTGGGGCTGTCCCAGGGACGTCGCACATGGGCCGAGCCTTGGTCACGTGTTTCAGCCGTATTCTTGTGCGCGCCCCAGGAGAATTACCCCAGTGCGACCCTACCTAGAAGTTGGAGCCCCTAGGAAAGCAGCATTAGTTGCTATGCTATGCTATGCTATGCCATGCTATGCTGCGCTATGCTATGCTATGCTATGCTATGCTATGCTATGCTATGCTGCGCTATGCTATGCTATGCTATGCTATGTTGTGCAAAGCTATGCTATGTCATGCTGCGCTGTGCTATGCTAAGCTATGTTATGATATGCTATGCTATGCTAAGCTGCGCTATGCTATGCTATGATATGCTGCGCCATGATATGCTATGATATGCTATGCTATGCTTGGCTATGTTATGCTATGCTGTGCTATGCTATGCTAATGCAGCGCTGCGCTATGCTAAGCTAAGCTAAGCTAAGCTAAACCTAAGCTAAGCTAAGCTAATCCTCTAGACAGAGCCTAGGTATGAAATTACACACATGCTAAGATGAGATAAGCAACGCTAAGCTAAGGGAACGTCACTGGGGGAACCGCGGAGCGGATGCCGGGGGAACCGCCCAGGGCGTGGACCACTGCCCGGCCCTTTAAGCACACCGAGCAAGAACCCTTCTAGGCAGAGCCTAGGTGGGGAATTGAGAAAGATTGGCTTCGTCGAACCGTCTCGAAACAGCGTCGGCCAGCGGGATTCGCGAAGCCCCCCTTCGCATGCCTTCTGCATGCTTCTCGCCAGCCTCCACGTCATCATCATATCATCATCTTGTCTCGAAGCCTGACACGGAGAGGGTCCGCGGGGGGCCCGCCGAACTGAATTGATATCATCATCTTGTCTCGAAGCCTGACACGGAGAGGGTCCGCGGGGGGCCCGCCGAACTGAATTGAACGCCCCTGAGAGGGCAGACGCCGCCGCCCCACCATTTTTGGAACGCGGAGTTTGTGGGAAGGGTCCAAGCCGGCCCAGGAGAGGGTCCAAAAGGAGGCGGAAAAAGGCCCCAAGAAAGACCCCACAGAGGGGCCCAAGAGGCTCCGAACACTGCCCAACAGGGCACCAAAAGGTGTCGAAAACAGCGGACGACATCGAAGAGGGATACGGAGAGGCTGAAAGGAGCAGTCCCACTTAGTTTTGGGGCCTCAGAGGCGCCTCTGGGGACCCCCTGGGCGCGCCCAGGACGGCCTAAGAAGGCGCCAAAAGGTCGGCCGCACGACCCAAGAGCCTTCGTGGAGCGCTCTTGGGACTTCTTCGGGGCCTCTTTTGCCGTTTTCGAGCCATCTTGGGCGTTCTTGAGCGCTCTTGTGTTGTCTTGAAGGCCTCGTGGACTCTCTTGGGCGCTGTCTTGGGGCTCTCTGGCTCGTGGAAAAGTCTTGCGAGGCAGTCTGGGAACGCGCGGGAGCGCCCGGGAGATTTGAGACTTTCGGGCCCCAGCTTTAGACAAACTATAGCCGCATAATTTTGAGTATAGAGAACAGAGGACACAAGGACCCGGAGAAAACTCCACTTCGCGCCTCGCGGCACGGTGGCGGATCAAAACCGGAGGACTTCTCTCGGCCACAGCTGGATTCTTGTCGAAATGATGGCTGGAACGTACGGTGTGATTCAGGCGTGAAAGTTTGATTCCCGATCTCAGATTCCCTCGCGTTGTGAAAAAACACGAGGGGGGATTGGGGCGGTTTTCCGTTTCGGGGGGTCTTTTCTGGGCCCCGGTGCTGTCAAGGAACGGCCCGGGACGAAGCGCCGGCCCCGTGAAAGAAGGGGCGGAGGCCTCCGGGGGCCTACGTTTTGAACAAATGGAGACGTCGGGTGTCAAGGTCTGGGGTGTTCTCGAGCTCCCCAGAGGTCCCCTCCTGTATGCGTGTGGGGGCTCGACGGGAGCGACACATGTCCAACGCACTTCGACCCTCGACCAGCTGTCCGCTCAAAGCTGGCCGCCAGATCCCTCCTGGGATCCATCCTGGTCAGTCTTGAGAGCCGCGTTCAGCCGTGGCGACGCGAATCTCCAGAAGCGCCCAGAAATCGGCCACATCAGCGGCGGCGACTGCGGCGACGGCGACGACGTCGACTCGGAGGCGACGATGGGGGCGAACAGCCCAGGGGGGCGCAATACATGGATCAAACGCCAACGATAATGCATGTCTTCGGCCAGGCTCCCTGGCGAACGCGTGGAATGCCCGCCCCTGGGCTGTTTGCCTCTATCGTCGCCTCCCACCGATGACAACGGCGACGGCGGCGGCGGCGGCGACGACGACGACGAAGACGACGACGAAAGCTCTGCGGCAGCCACCCAGTGCCCGTGGTAGCCGCGGTAGCCGCGGTAGACGCCCCGTGCTTCTGCCGCTCCGCACCCGTGGCCGCCAGGCGCCGCTGCCGCTCGCGTCGTGGCCCCTGGGCGCCACTGCCGCGGCGCGGCGCCGGCCGCGAGGCCTTCCACCCGCGCGCTTTCGCGCCGGGCGCGGAGCCACGGGCGCATCCGCGGGCCGTCGTCGTCGTCGTCGTCGTCGTCGTCGTCGTCGTCGTCGTCGTCGTCGTCGTCGTCGTCGTCGTCGTCGTCGTCGTCGTCGCAGTCGTCTTCGTCGTCGTCGTCGTCGTCGTCGGCGTCGTCGTCGGCGTCGTCGTCGTCGTCGTCGTCGTCGTCGTCGTCGTCGTCGTTAGCATCGTTGTCGTTGTCGTCGCCGTCGATGGGTCGAGGAGGGGGAGGAGGAGGAGGAGGAGGAGGAGGAGGAGGAGGAGGAGGAGGAGGAGGAGGAGGAGGAGGAGGAGCAGGAGGAGGAGGAGGGAGGAGGAGGGAGGAGAGAGGAGGAGGAGGAGGAGGAGGAGGAGGAGGAGGAGGAGGAGCGAGAATCGTCGGTGGCCCTTGCGGGCTCGCGGGTTGAACACACAGACAGTCCGTCGGAGGCCCAGTGGCTCTCAGCGCGGCAGCGAGGCAGCGCTTGGAGGCGTCCGCCTCGCAGGGCAGCCTCGGCGGCCGGGGTGCCGACTCGGCGGGCAGAACTCTTCCCAGGCCCTGGACTCGCACGGTGGCCCGCTCGGCAGAGCCGTCTTTGAGAGACCGTGCTTCCGTCCTGGGGCCGCCTTTTGGGGCCTTCTTGGAGCTGCCTCGGGGCCGTCTTGGGGGGGTCCTCGGGTTTGTGCTGGGCAGGGCTCCCTTGGGGCCATCTTCGGCCCAGGCCTTCCCAGGTGGGACGGCCGTGGTGGCGGCGGCGGCATGCGCGCGGGCGCCAGGGCGCGCCGCCCTCTGGCGGCCGGCGGAGCCATGGGCCCGGGCGAGGAGGCGAGCTGCGAGCTGGGGCTATTGGAGCCTGCGCTGGACGGGTCCGCAGCGTCGAGTGGCGGCGGTGCGCCCGCGGCGCTGGGCGTCGTCTCGACGCTCGGCGGGGAGCCCTTGGCCTCGGCGCCTGAGCGAGGCCGCCGCGATACTGAGGGACGGTGCCCCGACAGTCCTGGCCAACCTGTTCGAGTTCCTTGCCCAACGTGTTTTATATGGGCTTCATCGGGCACCTGCCCCACGCGCAGGATGACCTGGCAGCGGCGGCGTTGGGCCGCCAGTTCTTCTCCGCTTGCTTCGCCATCGCCTGGGGTCTGACGTCGGCGCTACACACGCTTGCGCCGCAGGCCGAGGGCGCTGGCCGTCTTGACCTGCACGCCCTGCACTGCCAGAGGGCCACTGTGTTCCTCACGATCACATGTATACCCCTCACTGTTCTGCAGGTGTTCTCAGGCGGGATCCTGAGACTCTTGGGGCAGTATGAGTCTGTGTCCATGGCAGCGCAACCTTTTGCCATTTGCCTACTCGGGCGCCTCTACTGCGAGATGTACTTCACCATCCTGCAGCGAATCGGACAGGCCAGGGGACCTGCCTCGCAGCTCGCCGCGGTAACCGCCCTGGGCGCCGTGGCAGGTGTTTTCTTCCTGTGGCTCTTCATCGATGTTGCGAAGCTTGGCTGCGTGGAATTGCCTGAACTTTATCGTCTTCTCGACGTTTCTGAGCCTGCAGCCTCGCGGCCGCCACTTAATTCGTTCCCTACCAGCCCTTCAAGGAGGTCCTTTCTCTGCGCGGCTTCAGCGACTACATGTCCTTGGCCGTGCCAGCTGCGCTGCAGTCCTGCTTGGAGCTCTGGGCCCTCGAGCTGGGGGTCACGATCGGGGCGGGCCTACTGCCAGATGCAGAGGTGAACCTGGGCGCCAATGCCGCCCTCGCCTGCATCGGGGGCACCTGCTACATGCTGTGGGTCGGCCTGCAGGTGGCTGCCTCCATCACCGTGGGTACTGGCGACGCAGCGGCTGCCCAGCGTGCTGCTCGTGTCTCCGTCTGCATCGGGCTATTCTTCGCCCTGCTCGTCTACCTTGTGGTGCCCATCGGCCGTTTTGAGATCGCAGGGGCTCTCACAGACGATGCGGAAGTGAAGGCGAAGGTCGCGTATTCGTAGAGGGTGTCGGCGCTGGTTGCCTTCTCGGACTCCACTAACGCTGTGCTCGGGGGCGTCCTGCGCGGGATGGGGCGCCAGAAGCACGCCACCGAGTTCCACTTCGTGGGGTTCTACGTGGTCGGGCTGTCGCTCGCCAGTTCCCTCAGCTCGGGTGCTGCCAGAGCTGGCCCTGACCCAAGGTGGCCCCAGCCTCGGGTGGCCCAGAGGGTCTCCAGAGCACCTCTCACGAGGGCCAGGTGGCCCAAGAGGCTCCAGTATGGCGCGAAAAGCTGGGGCCCCTTGAGCCAGGACCACCCTCGCTTGGCAGCACCCGATCAGCTACGCCTTCCGGCACACCGCCTTCGGCCTCGTGGGCCTCTGGGTGGGCGTAGCCTGCGCGGGCTTGGCGAGCGCGGCGCTCTCCGCAGCCCATCTCGCGCGGGTGGACTGGGGTCTGTGCTGGCCGAGGCGCGCGCGCGGAACCGAACGGTGTCGTGACGAGCTGCCCTTCCTCTTCGCCCCGAAGGTCTTCTTCTGCCTCCTCGGCTGTCGCAGGGGGGCGCGTCAGCGAGGCGTCGTGACGGGCTTCGTAATCGGGGCTGCCGCCGTGGTTGACTTCTTCCGCATCCCCTGGCTGCCGCAGGGGGCGTGCGCGAGCGGAGCGCGGCGACAGCGCGCCTTGACGCGCTGCGCGCTATGTCTGGCCACGAGCCCATTCCTGCGGGACTCACCGACCTGAGCCTGGTGCCTAACAGGGCGACCGAGGAGCTGCGGTGCCCGCTGGCGCGGCCAGGTCGGACACCCGCTGGTCAGGGTGAGCGTCCGCGTCGCGCCGCTCGCAGCGCGGCTTCCCTGGGAGGAAGGGGCTCGTGGAGACGGCAGGCGAAGGGACGAGGGGCTCGGAGGATCATTTGTATGTCCCAAGTGGGCAGCGAACCTTCCAAAAAACGTCGACCCTCGATCCTCGAACTCGGGTCCGCGGCCGATCTCGTAACTCGGAGGCAACGTTAGGTGGGGATGGGCGCAGGGGGGATGCCGCGACCACCAATCGCCAACTCATCGCGCCGATGGGCCCAACAGCCCACCCCGTCCAGGAACGTGTGTATCCGCTACTGGGGGCCTACCGCCGATCTATGGGCGACCCATCGCCGACTCCAGCTCGGTGTTCCCCCCCCGCACGACCCCGTCCCCCACCCAACGTCCCCCATCGGTAGCATCCGCGTCGGCGCAGCTCGCCCTCGCGGCGCGCCCTCGTGCCCGTTGGCGGCGGCCTCTGCCAGCCGTCATGGTCGTCGCCTTTCCCGCCGATTTCTTGGGGGTACCGCTGTTTGATTCGTTGTCCGACTCCGCAGAGGGAGCCTGGACACCAACTCCCTGGTCAGGGCCGTCCTGAGCCTCGGGATGCTGCGCAGACCATCGCAGCCTCGTCCAGGGGGGCGTGTGCACCGTGCCAGGGCCCAGGACAGCCCTGGCTAGGCATGCAGTGGTGGTGTGTGCGTGCGTCCTGGGTGTGTGAAGCTCGCGGCGCTGTTCATCGCGCGGCCCAGCCCACATGGCTGCGGACGAGGCCTCGAGGCTGGGCCGCGCGAGTGCCTCGGATGGGGAGCGGGAGGGATGATGATGACGATGACGATGACGACGACGATGACGATGATGCTGATGATGATGCTGCTGCTGCTTCTGCTGCAGCTGCCGATGATGACGACGACGACGGTGGTGGTGGTGTTGATGATGCTGCTGCTGATGCTGCTGATCTTATGATGATGATGATGACGATGATGATGTTGATGATATTGATGATGATGATGATGATGATGATGATGATGATGATGATATTGATGATGATGATGAAGATGAGGAAAACGAGGAGGAGGATGGTTCGGGTGGTGGTGATGAGGACGACCGAGAAGAACACGACGAAGCTACTTCTGCATATTCTGATGATGGTGATGATGCTGTTGATGACGTTGATGATGATGCTGATGGTGATGATGAGGATGATGATGCTGATGATGCTGATGGTGATGATGCTGCAGCTGTTGTTGATGATAATGCGGCTGATGATGATGATGGTGATGATGACGACGATGATGGTGATGAGGAGCGAGGCGGGAGGAGGTGGGAAAAGGAGGAAGAGGAGGATGAGACGAGAGGAGGAGGATGAGGAGGAAGAGGAGACGGAGGAGGAGGAGGAATAGTAATCCTACTCGGACGAACTGCTTTAATAGTACCAGTAATGATACTACTAAGAAGAAGACCGCTCATCTCAATACACAGAAGAGTACTGTTACGAAGAATAATGCTAAGACTAGTTATGCTAATACTAGTTTGACGACTAAGGGTCATAGTAATGCTAGAATTATGAATCGTAGGAAGAAGCCGGTCACTACCATATCATTAATGGTATGAAGAACAACCATGTTACTACGAACAGTCATACTATTACACAGACTACTTAGAGTTACCATATAAAGCCGAAGACTGTGATTACTAATGGTCGTACTGAGACGGATACTAAGACGAACAAGGCGAATCATGATAAGCACACTAATAAGACCAGCACTACGCACACTGATAATGTTATTCCATGCTGAGAAGGATACTAAGAATGACAATGGTATTACGATCACGCAGGCGAATACGAATACCATTGGTAAAACGATGTATATGGTTACTAATCATGCCAAGCATACTGGTACTACTAATGCGGATATTACCAGCATGCCTAAAGCTAATACCACCACTATTATTATTACTAAGACGGGGAAGGCGATCACGGCTAACACTATCACTATTAGAAACACTGTTACTACTAATACAAACGGCAGTTCGAACAGTAGTTATATCATTGGTACCCAGGAGGGAACTGATACTACTACTTCTATTACGCGTGTTAACGCTATTGCGACTATTATTACGTCAAGGCTAATTCATACCACGGGCAATACGACTAACCCGAACATGACTCATCCTAGCAGGACGGCCGCAACTAATACTAAACATAATAGCATTACGAATCATAAGGATGAGTGGAAGGAAGAGGAGGATGAGGAGGAGGACGAGGAGGAGGAGGAGGAGGGAGGAGGGAGGATGGAGGATGGACGAGGGAGGAGGGAGGAGGGAGGAGGGAGGAAGTGGGAGGAGGAATGAGGAATGAGGGAGGAGGGAGGAAGAGGGAGGAGGGAGGAGGGAGGAGGGAGGAGGCAGGAGGGGAGGAGCCAGGAGGGAGGAGGAGGAGGGACGAGTGAGGACGGAGGAGGGGGGAGGGAGGGGGGAGGAGGAATGTGAGATGATGGAGGAGGGAGGAGAGAGGTGGTGGTGGTGGTGGTGGTGGTGGTGGTGGTGGTGGTGGTGGTGGTGGTGGTGGTGGTGGTGGTGGCGGTGGCTTGGGTAAGCATAGGGTGGGGCTACGGGCACGGCCCCTCTAGCGACACTCCCCACCCAGGAATGACTGGGGGGTAGCTCACCACGCGTCGCGGGGGTCTAGCGCCGCAGTGCCACGGCGCCACTCGATCCGAGAGGCGGGAGGAGGGAGGAGGGAGGAGGAAGCAGGGATGAGGAAGGGAGGGGGGGTGGGAGGGTGGGAGGGAAGGGGGGGAGAGATGAGGAGGAGGAGGAGAAGTAGGAGGCGGAGGCGGAGGAGGAAGAGGGGGAAGAGGATGAGGAGGATGAGGAGGATGAGGAGGATGCGGAGGCAGAGGAGGAGGCGGAGGAGGAGGAGGCGGATGAGGAGGATGAGGAGGCGGAGGAGGAGGAGGAGGAGGAGGATGAGAGGGAAGGCCAGGATGCTCATGATAATGATGATGCTGCTGCTGATGCTGCTGCTGCTGATGCTGACGATGTTGATGATGCTGATGATGAGGATGATGTTGATGATGTTGGTGCTGGGGGTGATGATGTTGATGCTGCTGATGCTGATGCTTCTGACGACGCTGGTTGTGGTGATGCTGATGATGACGGTGGTAGTGGTGATGATGAGGAGGCTGACGATGATGCTGATGATGGTGACGATGATACTGGTGATGACGACGGCAACGATGATGATGCTGCTGCTGATGATGAGGATGCAAATTGCGACGCTGTTGCTGATGATGAATATGATGATGAATATGCTTATGATGATGCTGATTATGTTGATGATGTTGATACTGATGCTGATTATGATTCTGATTATGCTGATGATAACGACAACGGCGATGCTGCTGGTGGTGTTGATGATGATGCTGATGTTGTTGGTTTTGATGACGACGATGCGATGATGCTGATGATGAAATGATGGTGATGACGCTACCGCTTCGAATACGTAACATGATGCGGGTGATGATGAAGAGGAGGATGAGCAGGAGGAGGATGATGGGAGATCAGGAGGCAAGGTTCGTAGAACTCCTAGTAGTAGTAGTAGTAGTAGTAGTAGTAGTAGTCGTAGTGGTGGTGGTGGTGGTGGTAGTAGTAGTAGTAGTCGTCGCAGTCGTCGTCGTCGTCGTCGTCGTCGTCGTAGTAGTAGTAGTAGTAGTAGTAGTAGTAGTCGTAGTAGTCGTCGTAGTAGTAGTAGTAGTAGTAGTCGTAGTAGTAGTAGTAGTAGTAGTAGTAGTAGTAGTAGTAGAAGAAGTAGTAGTAGTCGTAGTAGTAGTAGTAGTAGTAGTAGTAGTAGTAGTAGTAGTAGTCGTAGTAGTAGTAGTAGTAGTCGTAGTAGTAGTAGTAGTAGTAGTAGTAGTAGTAGTAGTAGTAGTAGTAGTAGTAGTAGTAGTAGTAGTAGTAGTAGTAGTAGTAGTAGTAGTAGTAGTAGTAGTAGTAGTAGTAGTAGTAGTAGTAGTAGTAGTAGTAGTAGTAGTCGTAGTAGTAGTAGTAGTTGTAGGAGTAGGAGTAGGAGTAGGAGTCAAGCTAGCCAGCTCGAGCGAGTCAAGCATGGCATGCCCAGTCCCACCCGCCCTCCCACAACATAAGAAGCAAAGCTGGCACAACTGGGGGCCGAAGTCACACCGGCCAGCCGGTTTGGTACAGCTGATGCGGCCGCGATGGCG